GAGGGTCCCCGCGTGCCTTCTCGGGGTGCGCGGGGGGCTGGGGTCCGGCGATCCAGGCGCGGGGTGCGGGTTAAAACGTGGGGACGCCTTCCCCGAGCGCCGCTTGGAGGACCGGCGCGCGGCCGGGTCTTCGCTCCGTGGTCTTCCTCGCCTCGCTGCTGGCTGTCGCTGCCGGGGTCGCCGGAACCACCCCGTCCGGAGAGCGAGGCGTGGAGCCACCTTCTAGCATCCGCGACGCCAAGTCCCCTCTTCTTTGGATCGGGGTGCTTTGACATCTCTTTGAGACGCTTAGGAGCGTGGAAGGGCGAAATGTTTCGTGAGCGCGTAAATGTCTGAGGTGAAGGGGTAACAGCAAACCCAGCTGCTTTGTCCTGTCTTTCTGCGTGTGCAGGCAGAGGTAAATTGCTTTTTAAAAAGAGAAAACCTCAAGCGCTGCGGGGTTGAGACTTTAACGCATACTTTTGCATTCCTGAGGGGATCGTGAGAAAAAAGACAACAAACTCTTAAACTGCTTCTTGTTTTGATTTCCAAAAAACCCCTCAAAAAACCATAAGCCACTAAAATGTCTTATTGAGTTGATGTAAGAACTTACTAGCTTCTTTGCTGTCATGAAGCTTCTGGCCTGTTGGTTAGCTTGAATGTATTCAGGAGTCGTTTATAAGAGTTATACAGAGAGTATTTACACAGGTAAGATGGATCAAGGAGGTTTTGATTTTGAAACAATACCAACACATGTGTGGATGTTTTTTAAAAGTTTGTGAGGACCGGCCAAGGACAAGAGGAAGAAAACCACAACATTAAAAAAAAAAAGTTTGCAAACCATGGGTCATGCCTGTAATCCCAGCACTTTGAGAGGCGGAGGCAAGAGGATTGCCTGAGCTCAGGGATTCGAGACCAACCTGGCCTAACCTTATCTCTACAATAAATCCAAAAAAAAAAATTAGCTGGGCATGGTGGCATGTGCCTGTGGCCATGAGCGTGCTACTGCACTCCAGCCTGGATGACAGAGTGAGACTCTTGACTCCAAAAAAAAGTTTATAGTTGTTCCAAGAAAGTAGAAATTGTATAGAGGTATGAAATAAAACATGCCCCCATTCCATCCCCTCCACTGCCTCAAGTGACCACTGTTGACAGTTTATTTCTAATTCTTTTGGAGGTTGCACTTTGTTTTTTATATTGTTTGATTTTTTTTTCCTGGAGGCGAGATTTTGCTATGTTGCCAGGTTGGTCTCCAACTCCTAACCTCAAAGCCATCCTCCCGCCTCAGCCTCCCAAAATGCTGGGATGACAGGCATGAGCCACCATGTCCGGCTGGAGGTTGCATTTATTACTTTATTTTTTGTATTTTCTACAACTTATTGTGAGGTTATCGACATCAAAACATTCATTTTCATAATTTTCTTCTGTTTATCTGTTTTCTTTTTTTTTGAGTTGGAGTCTCACTCTGTCGCCCCAGGCTGGAGTGCAGTGGCATGCTCACGGCCACCGCAACCTACTAGACTCAGGTGAGCCTTCTGCTCAGCCTTCCAAGTAGCTGGAACTACAGGCATGTGCCACCGTGCCTGGCTAATATTTGATTTATTGTGGAGATGAGGTCTTACCAAGTTGCCCAGACTGGTCTCACACCAGTGGTCTCAGGCAGTCCTCTCACCTCGGCCTCCCAAAGTGCTGAGATTATAGCATGAACCACCATGCCCGGCTATCTGTTTTCTTGAACACGTCTTCATTTTTCCTTCTAAAATGTTACATGTCATACTTGAGACAATGGAGTCATTTTTAAACGCAGCAGCCAAAGGGACATTCATCTGGAGCCACTTACATGCTTCAGTGGTGGGGTGGTCCTAATAGTTTTATCACAGCCATCTTTTTTTTGTTGTTGTTGAGTCGAAATCTCATTCTGTCATCCAGGCTGGAGTGCAGTGGCTTCCAAGTAGTTTCAGCTACAGGCATGCGCCACCATGCCCGGCTATTTTTTTTTTTTTAACTGTAGAGGCAAGGTCTCGCCAAGTTGCCTGGGCTGGTCTCGAACCCTTTGGCTCGTGCGATCTCTTGCCTCAGCCTCCCAAAGTGCTAGGATTACAGGCATGAGCCACAGCGCCCGGCCCACAGCTATCTTTCTACAAGTCTTTGGAAAACATGTGTCAACATGACCTTTACACACTTTGAAAACTCAAAGGCTTTGTCACACCTGAAAGAGCCCAGCCATGGGTCTGCAGGCACCACCCCTCCCTGCCCACATGACTGTCGGCTTCGCAGGAATCTTCCTACCTCAGCGACCATGTGGGGAAGCCCATTTATTACTTTAAAAGTTGTGTTTCTGTTTTGTGATTTACCCACTTTATTTTATTTATTTATTTTTTTGAGTTGGGAGTCTCGCTCTGTTACCCAGGCTGGAGGGCAATGGCACAATCGTTGCTCACTGCATCCTCAAACTCCTGGGCTCAGGCAGTCCTTTCTCTTCAGCTTCCTGAGTAGCTGGGACTACAGGTGTGAGCTAACACTTCCAGCTACCTTTTTTATTTCTTTGTAGAGATGAGGGCTCACCCTGTTGCCCAAGGGGGTCCTGAACTCCTGGGCTCAAGCAATCCTCTCGCCTCTGCCTCCCAAAGTGCTAGCATTACAGGCATGCCTAGCCAGATTTGTTAACTCTAGACAATATCTGAGCTATTCTTTCCACTGAAAGATGAGAAATTCAGCACACATTGCCTTCTGCTGCTTCTCTCCTAGTGCATCTCAATATTTGGTTGTTAAACTGTTATTTTTAGCTGGGCACCGTGGTACATGCCTGTCCTCCCAGCTACTCTGGAGGCTGAGGTGGGAAGATTGCTTGAGCCCAGGAGGTCCAGGCTGCGGTGAGCTATGATTATGCCACTGTACTCCAGCCTGAGTGACTGACCAAGACCATGTCTCTAAAAAAAAATAAAAAACCCAAAAAACCAATGACTATATTTTTAGTTATGCGGGTTGCCTTTATGGCTGTCGGCAATATACGTTCTTATTGAATTGGGGTTGTCTCCAGTGACTCTATGAAAGATGAAGAAATTAGTGCTTCTTTCTTTTTTCCCATTTTTATTAGTTTGACAAATATTAGGGCTACTTAGTAAATTAAAACTATCATAAGCTTCTCCTTTAGAAAGAAATAGAAGTCTGCTGTACTTGAGGGAATACAGATATTTTCTTGGCGTTGCTCCAGTTATTAAAAAGAGGAGCATATGGCCATAACAGCCTTTTTGGTGTTAGGCTAAAATAGTTCCAAGACATGCAAGTTAACATTGTCTTTTAAGACCTATGACATTTTGCTAAGGAAAGATACTAACAACTCCTGGCCTGTCATGGCACTTTTTCTTCAGTGAAAGCTTCCTTGTGGCACCTTCATCTCACAGTTTGTTTAAAGACGTCAGCACTCTCTAAACATACCAATTTCTGTCCTCTGAAATTAGATCAGTTAAGGTTTTATGTTTACATAAACTGAAGATTGTGATGTTGCATAGTCAGCCGCTCATTAATACAGATGAAACTAAAATGAGTCACCGATGAGGATGGTTAATAAACAAGTTGGCTAACTAGAACATCTCCCTGGTTTTAAAACAGAAAAATCTTTCCTTTTTTTTTTTCAGTTGGAATCTCATTCTGTTGCCCAGGCTGGAGTGCAGTGGCACACTCATGGCCACCCCAGCGTTGACCTTCTGGGCTCCAGCGATCCTTCCGCCTCAGCCATCTAAGGAGCTGGAACTACAGGCACGCGCTACCATGCCCGACTAATTTTTTTGTTTATTGTAGAGATGAGGTCTTTGTTGCTCAAGCTGTTCTCGAAACTCTAGGCTCAGACAATCCTCTCACCTCAGCCTCCCAAATTGCTGGGATTATAGGTGTGAGCCACCGCACCCAGCCAAAAATCTTTTCTTTATAACCAGAAATGTGAGGCATTTGAAAAAAGTTTTCTTCCCCCCTAGATCTGCTAAATGGCCATCATCACATAGCTTTCCCTAGCCTTTTCTAACAGTGTTTCTTTCTAGTGAATGTTGAATGTTGTAATAGCTAGAATTGTTCTCTCCCTCCAAAGATGTGTATGGTGTTCTCATTCTGTTAAACTTGATATTAATAAAAACATGATGTCTCTTTAGATATGACATTAAGGTTTTTTTTTTTTGAGTCAGAGTCTCACTCTGTCACCCAGGCTAGAGTGCAGTGGTATACTCCCAGCCACTTCAGCCTCGACCTGCTGGGCTCAGGCCACCCTTCCACCTCAGCTTCCAAGTAGCTGGAACTGCAGACACATGCTACCTGCCCGGCTAGATTTTTTTAACTTATTGTAGAGATGAGGTCTTGCCAAGTGACCCTAGCTGGTCTCAAAGCCTTGGACTCAGGCAGTCCTCTCACCTCGCCTCCCCAAGTGCTGGGATTACAGGCTTGAGCCACTGCGGCTGGCCTTTTTTCCCCCTTAGTTTTTAATCATGAGATTAATAGCATTGAGAATTCAATTTTATTGGAGACCAGCTAAGAATGCCTGTCTCATGGCTTGCATCCCTCATTTCCTGGCATGAGAGCTTTTCAACTATTGGCCTTCTTCAATCATTAGCTACTTAATGGTAGTTTGGAGGAAGAGAAACAGGTTTTGTTGGTTAGTGATAGATTGTCATTGTATGTGCTTATCTTTATACAAAGTTACTTGGTATTATGGGATAGACTTTAACAAAGCAAAGTGTGGACTGCTCACTTCTTTACATTAACACTTAAGGGAAATTTTGCAAAAAGCTTGTAAAAATTATGTTTAAACGCCTGCTGTCAAGCAGTAATAACAATACAGAGGATTCCTAAGGTGCATGACTAGGACTAAGAGCTTGTTAACTCTTTGCTTATTTGGAATGCACAGCTGGTTCAGAGAAGGAGCTTGTAGGGTTTTTCTTCCTGCGAACAAGTCTTGGCAAGGCTTGTTTTTAAAATAATTGCTCGATTGTTTTAGCAACATGCGTCAGTCATGGTTCCAAGGAAGTAAAAGCAGTGTTTTGAGTTGAGGGTTGTGGGGGACGTTAGTTGATTGGCCCTGGATCCAGCACGCACCCACCCACCCATGGGGCAGCAGATCCCTAGCAGAAAGAGAGGGAAGGATAGATCGAGGTGGCCTGGGGCCAAACTGCCAAAACCAAATGAAATTCGAATTAGATGAAATTGCTTATCAGCACTGGGGACTGAAGCTGGGGAAGAGTTTGATGGGGAGGCTGGAAAGGCTGGAACTGACCGAGCCCAAGATCTGAGGGAGCAAAGGGAAAGAAAGCAGCTCTGTGCAGAAAAACGGCCCTTGGAGGTCCCTGCTTCATGGTCGCTTTCTGATGCAATTCCTATTCCCCTTTTGTTGTTGTGGTTGCTTTTGGTTTTTGTTTTTTTTTTGAGTTGGACTCTCACTCGGTCGCCCAGACTGGAGTGCAGTGGCTGCTCCCGGCCACCGCAGCCTCGACCTGCTGGGCTCCAGCGATCCTTCCGCCTTAGCCTTCCAAGCAGCCGGAATTACAGGCACACACTACCACGCCAGGCTGATTTTTGATTTATTGTAGAGATGACGTCTTGAACCTGCGGGCTCAGGCAATCCACTCACTTCAGCCTCCCAAAGACGCGGGATTACAGGCTGAGCCCCCGAGCCCGGCTGTTTTTTGTTTTTGAGTCGGAGTCTCACTCTGTCACCCAGGCTGGAGGCTGGAGGCTGGAGGGCAGTGGCACGCTCCCAGCCACCGCAACCTCCACCTGCTGGGCTCAGGCGATCCTTCTGCCTCAGCCTTCCAGGTAGCTGGAACTACAGGCACACACCACCATGCCTGGCTAATTATTTTGGGTTTGTAGAGATGAGGCCTCGCCAGGTTGCCAGGGTGGTCTCGAACCCGTGGGCTCAGGCAGTCTTCTCACCTCAGCCTCCCAAAGCACTGGGATTATAGGTGTGACCCACCGTGCCTGGCCTGTTGTTTTTTATTTGAATTAAGAAAAGTAGATTGGTTAAAGAGAAGGTAACATAGTGAGGGGCACGACGGGCAGGTCAGCAGCAGGAGTGTCTGCTTCCCCCACTCCCCTTTTTAAGGCAACCGGTGTGTCTGAGTTGGGGGCTTCACTTTGCTGCCCGGGCAAAGTGCCAGGAGCAGTACTACAGCACACCTCAGCCTCAACCTCCTGGGCTCAGGAGATCCTTCCACCTCAGCCTCTCGAGTAGCTTTGACTACAGGTGTGCACCACTGTGCCTGGCTAATCTTTTGATTTTTTTTTGGTCTCCCAGAGTTCTGGGATTACAGGTGTTACCTACTGTTCCTGGCCTGGAGTGTCTGTTCTTTTGTTTGTTTGTTTGTTTGTTTGTTTGAATAGGAGTCTCTGTTGTCCAGGCTGGAGTGCAGTGGCATGCTTATGGTCACTGCAGCCTTGACCTGTTAGGCTCAGGTAGGTGATCCTTCTGCCTCAGCTTTCCAAGTAACTGGAATCACAGGTGTGCACCCCCATGCCTGGCTACTTTTTAAATTTTATTTATTGTAGATATGAGATCTCACCAAGTTGCCCAGACTGATCTCGAACCCCTGAACTCAGGCAGTCTTCTCGCCTCTGCCTCCCAAAGTACTGGGATTACAGGCGTGACCAGCATTATCTGTTGTTTTATGATAGAAATGAACCTAATTGAAACATGACTTTTAAAAATTCCTGTCTTGCTTAGGATTTCAATTATTACCAGACATTATTTAAACTTAGTTTAATAAATATTGCTGAACACTTACTTAGTCCAGGCACACAGTGCTGTTGTAGACACTGGGTGTATAGAGGTAGATAATACATATCTCTGCCTTTGAGGAGCTAAGAGAATTGTAGAAGATAAGACATATCAGAGTTACAGCAGAAACAGTTAAAGTTGAAGATTTTTGTTGGTGTAGGTGGACGTATTTCAACAGATCCTCTGCAGCATGATTTTTTTTCATTCATGGTCATCTTTCCACATCAGGATAGAAAGACAGATAAGTGGATTTTTTTAATAGTTGGTATGTAATATGCTACAATATTGTACAGTAATATTTTTTTTCTGACTGATGAACTCTTTGTCTTCATTAAATCAGTTTCAAATAGTTATGTTGAAGGAAAATCCTTATATTTAATATATATTTTTGCAAACAAAGCCAAAGATATGCTAATCCTAAAATTCTTTTGTGTGTGTGTGTGTGTGTGTTGGAATCTCACTCTGTCGCTCAGGCTGGAGTACAGTGGCACGCTCATGGCCACTGCAGCCTCGACCTACTGGGCTAAGGAGATCCTTCCATTGCAGCCTTTCAAGTAGCTGGAAGTACAGGCATGTGCCACCATGGTCAGCTAATTTTTTGATTTATGGTAGAGATGAGGTCTCACTAAGTTGACCAGGCTGGTCTCAAACCTGTGGGCTCAGGCAGTCCTCTCACCTCGGCCTCCCAAAGTGCTAGGATTATAGGCATAAGCCACTGCACCCCGCCTACCTTAAAATTCTTAATGTAGTTTATCTCAAAAAAAATCCTAGCTGAATCAATTATCATATTGGATATTACAAATAAATTTTTTTTTTCTGAATAGACTATATTCCATTTAGGAGAAAACCTTACATTGAGATAGCAGAAGAACTGAATGTGGTTCTTTTATTTTTTGGGGGGGTTTAGTTTTAAAAACAATTAGTCCTAAAGAAAAACTTCAGATATATATTAGCATATGGGAACATTGAACGCTTAAAGCAGTTTGTCTTCTGAAGCCCAATAACAATTAAGAATGCTTTCCCTCCCTTAAAAAAAAAATCAACTAAAACTATATCCAAATTTGCTCTTTTGGAAATCTTTGTGGTAAAGCAGACTATATTCTGTTAAAGATCATTGGTAAAGTAATTTATGCTAATACTGAAGTTATACCAGAAAAGAAATCACCTGTGCATAATTTATACTTTTAGAATGTAATGTCTTTATTTTGCAGTTCCTTTTAGCTTTGGTACTCTAATAAGGTTCTAGTAGTTGTGGAGTGTTATGAACAGGGTGCTATCCCAATTACGTAGAGAAGTGTTCATATAAAAATATCTTTAATGGCTGGGCTCGGTGGCTCAGCCTGTAATCCCAGCACTTTGGGAGGCCGAGGTGAGAGGACTGCCTGAGCCCACAGGTTTGAGACCAGCCTGGGCAACTTAGTGAGACTAAGTTGGATTGCCTGAACCCATGGGTTCGAGATCTGCCTGGGCAACTTGGCGAGACCTCATCTCTACAATAAATAAACAATTAGCCGGGTATGGTAGCATGCGCCTGTAGTTCCAGCTACTCGGAAGGCTGAGGCGGAAGGATCGCCAGAGCCCAGCCGGTCGAGGCTGTGGTGGCTGGGAGTGGCCCTGCACTCCAGTCTGGGCGATGGAGTGAGATTCCAACTCAAAAAAAAAAAAAAAAATCTTTAATGTTTTAGTGTCTGGAACTTAAGGAGTGGTAGTTGATAAAACATAACTCCTTCATTGAATCTCTCTCTCTCTTTTTTTTTTTTTGAGTAGGAGTCTCACTCTCGCAGAGATTGTTCAGGCTGGTCTTGAATCCATGTCTTAGGCAGTTCTCCCATCTCTGCCTCCCACAGTGCTGGGATTGCAGGCGTGAGCCACTCTTCCCAGCTAACACTTTTCAAAAGCTGTTTTGAGCCGGGCATGGTGACTGAAGCACACCTGTAATCCCAGTACTTTGGGAGGTGGAGGCGAGAAGATTGCCTGAGTCTAGGGGTTCAAGACCAGCTTGGGCAAGTTGGACAGACTTTGTCTCTATAATAAATCAAAAATTAACTGAGCGTGGTAGCGTGTATTTATAGTTCAGCTACTTGGAAAGCTGAGGCGGAAAGATTACATGAGTCCAGCAGGTCGAGACTTGGTGGCCATGAGCATGCCACTGCACTCCTCTGTCCAGTCTGGGCAACACAGTAAGACTTCTCAAAAAAAAAAAAAGCCTGGCCAGGCTCCAGTGGCTCAGCCTGTAATCCCAGCACTTTGGGAGGGTGAAGCAAGTGGATTGCCTGAGCCAGAGGGTTCAAGACCAGCCCAGGGAACTTGGCAAGACCTTGTCTCTGCCATAAATAAAAAATAACTGGGCATGGTAGCATGTGCCTATAGTTTCGGCTACTTGGAAGGGGGAGGCGGAAGGATGGCTGGAGCCCAGCGGGCCAACACTGGGGTGACTGTGAGTGTGCCACTGCACTCCAGCCAGGGTGACGGAGTTAGACTCCAACTCAAAAAAAAAAAGCTGTTTTGTTATATTTGTTGATTATCATGAAAAATGTGAAATCGAGCAGTTCTACATTGTATTATCTTGGCTATGTTTAATTTTTTTGTGGTTACATTCGTAACAAATAATGCAGTTTTCCTTACTTTTTTTAATGTTTAATTGTGGTAAACAACTCCCCGTATAAAATTTACCAACTTAACTATATTTAAGTATATGTTGTTCAATTCCGTTAACTGTATTCATACTGTTGTGCAACCAGTCTTCAGAACTTTTTCATCTTGCAAAGCTGAACTTTGTTTTGTCCGTTAAACTGCTCCCTATTTTCTACTCACTGCCAGCCTCTTGGCAACCACCATTCCATTTTGCTTCTGTGATTTTTTTTCTTTTTTTTTTTGAGTTGGAGTCTCACTCCGTCGCCCAGACTGGAGTGCAGGGGCACGCTCCTAGCCACCGCAGCCTCAACCTGCTGTGCTCCGGTGATCCTTCTGCCTCAGCCTTCCAAGTACTCAGAACTACAGGCACATGCTACCATGCCTGACGAATTTTTGATTTATTGTAGAGATGAGGTCTCACCAAGTTGCCCAGGTGGGTCTCGAACCCACAGGCTCAGGCAGTCCACTCACCTCAGCCTCCCAAAGCGCCGGATTACAGGCTGAACCACCGAGTTCGGCCTGTTTCTGTGAATTTAACTCCTCTAGATATATCAGTAAAATCTTACAGTGTTTGGGGTTTTTTTTTTTTTTGTCCCGATTATGTCACTTAGCACAACGCCCTCAAGCTACATTCATGTTTCAGAACTTCCTTTTTTGCTGGGTGTGGGGCATGGGTCTGTAGTCCTGGCCTCTAGAACTAACTAAATACATTTTTGCTCGTTATGAGAACAGACTGAGGCATATGCTTGGGTGATTTCTGCTGTAGAAAGAGGTATCTCAGGAGATAAGCATGCGGTTTTATCCTGGAGTGTTCTTTAAATTGATTGGCTGTGGATAGAAGGGAAGGAATCCAGTTGTCTTATTCAGTTTGTTTGTGCTCCTGTAGCTAAATACCCGAGACTGGCTAATTCATAAGGACTAGAAATGTGGGTCTCACCGTTCTGGAGTCTGGAAAGTCCAAGGTCAATGTGCCCGCAGGTTTGTTGTCTGGTGAGAGTTTTTCCTTCCAAGATGGTGCTTGGTTGCTGCACCATCCGCACGTGGTAGAAGCGCCTTGGAAGGGCCAGAAAAGGCCTCCGCTGGTTTCTTTTAGCCCTTTTATAAGGCTTTAATCTGTTGATAAGTTTCCCTCTGATTTTATCACTTCTCTACATGCTTCACCTTTTTTTTCAGCTAGAGTCTCACTGTGTTGCTCAGGCTGCAGTGCAGTGGCATGCTCACGGCCACCACAGCCTCGGCCTCCTGGGCTCAGGCTGTCATTCTGCCTCAGCCTTCCAAGTAGCTGGTGGCGGGAACTACAGGCATGCACCACCATGCCCAGCTAATTTTTTGATATATTGTAGAGATGGTGTCTCGCCAAGTTGCCCAGGCTGGTCTCGAACCCATGAGCTCAGGCAGTTCTTTCACCTTGGCTTCCCGTGCCTCTTAATATCACCGAATGAGGATGAACTTTTCTTTCTTTCTTTGTTTTGAAGCAGAGTCTTGCTCTGTCGCTCAGGCTATAATGCAGTGGCGCAATCATAACTTACTGCAGTCTCAAACTTGTGGGCTCAAGTGATCCTCCTGCCTTAGCCTCCCGGTTGGCTGGGACTACCTGCTCGTGCCAGCATGCCCAGCTGATTTTCTTCCTCATGAATCCAGTGTTTTTATTTAATTGTTATTACTATTTTTTAAACTGGGGAAAATAGGTTTATTAAAGGAAAGATACATCGTGAAGGGCACAACCAGCAGGACAGCAACAAGAGTGCTACCCATTTTTATTTTTAAGCCGTTATTGAATATTGGTGTCTAAATTTTTACTGTGCAGAAATAGTGTGTTGAAAGCAATGTGTATTGATGCCTACACAAAATACCTGAAGCCCATCACATTGTTAAATATTCGACAGTGTGTAGAGCATTATTATTTTTTATCATTTTCAAACAGACAACTCCTTTTCTTTTTCAGGGATATCATGATAACACATTTTGAACCTTCCATCTCCTTCGAGGGCCTCTGCAGTGAGGTTCGAGACATGTGTTCTTTTGACAATGAACAACTTTTCACCATGAAATGGATAGATGAGGAAGGTGAGTGGTAAAGGAGGGGCATGTGGAAACATCTTACTGAAGGTCTTAATTGGTCGTTTGTTTTAAAACATAAGAGTCCTAATAGTTTTGTTTGTTTGTTCATTTTCTGAGTCAGAATCTCACTCTGTTGCCCAAGCTGGAGTACCCTGCCACACTCGCGGCCACCGTAGCCTTGACTGATGAACTCAGGCGATCCTTCTGCGTTAGCCTTCCAAGTAGCTGGAACTACAGGCATGCGCCACCACACCAGCTAATTTTTTCTGACTGACTGTACAGATGAGGTCTTGCCAAGGTACCCAGGCTGGTCTCAAGCCCTTGGACTCAGGCAGTTCTCTTGCTTCCGCCTTCTAAAGTGCTGGGATTATAGGTGTGAGCCACTATACCTGGCAGTTCTAATAGATTTGAAGGGGAAATATGTGTTAGAAACTTAATGCCATTGTCATATTTTCTTTAAGATTTTAATTGACTAGGCACGGTGTAATTCTGTAATCCTAGAATTTTGGGAGGCTGAGATGGGAGGATTGCTTGAGGCAACATAGTGAGACTTGTCTCTACAAAAAATGAAAAGATTAGCCGGGTATGGTGGTGTATGTCCATAGTCCCAGCTACATGGGAGTCTGAGATGGAAAGATCACCTGCACTCAGGAGGTTGACGCTGCTGTGATTGTGCCCCTGCCCTCCAGCCCGGGTGACAGGGTGAGACCTTGACTTTAAAAAAAAATAGGCTTATAAATTAAAAGAATGTGGAAGAGTACAATCTTTGCTTAACTCTTTTTACCCCCAAATGAAGTGAAAATAACTTTATTTCTTTTTTCAGCGTAAGTTAGGCATCTCAGCAAAAGTGACGTTTTACTTTAATTTTTAATATGCGTTGTCTTATATTTTAATTTAAGAGTTTCTCTATGTTTTAACCTTTTTTTTTTTTTTTTTTTTGAGTTGGAGTCTCACTCTGTCGCCCAGACTGGAGTGCAGTGGCCGCCACCACAGGCTCAACCTGCCGGGCTCCAGTGATCCTTCCGCCTCAGCCTTCCAAGTAGCCGGAATTACAGGCATGCGCTACCACGCCCAGCTGATTTTTTGATTTATTGTAGAGATGAGGTCTCGCTGCCCAGGCGGGTCTGGAACCCGCGGGCTCAGGCAATCCACTCACCTCAGTCTCCCAAAGGCGCGGGATTACAGGCTGAGCCACCGAGCCCAGCTCTATGTTTTAACCTTAAAGAAAATGTTATAGAATGAAAGTGATTGTGACAAACATTATTTTTAAATGATGGGAAAAACTTGATATCTCGATAACTTGTAGTCAGAAAACACTTATAAAATGTCTGTGTGGGCTGGGTGCAGTGGCTCATGCCTGTAATCCCAGCACTCTGGGAAGCCAAAAGGGAGAATCACTTGAGCCCAGGAGTTCAAGACCAGCCTGCAACATAGTGAAACCTCGTTTTCACAAAAAAATCGAAAACTTAGCAGGGTATAGTGGCATACACATGTAGTCCTAGCTACTCCAGAGGTTGAGGCAGGAGGATTGCCTGCTTGCCCAGACTGGAGTACAGTGGCACACTGTTCATGACCACCGTAGCCTCGACCTGCTGGGCTCAGGCGATCCTTCCATCTCAGCCTTCCAAGTAGCGGAACTGCAGGCGTGCACCACCACACCCAGATAATTTTTTTATTTATTGTAGAGATAAGGTCTCACCATGTTGCCCAGGCTGGGATGGAATCTGCGGGATCAGGCAATCCTCTTGCCTCTGCCTCCCACAGTGGTGGGATTACAGGCGTGAGTACCATGCCTGGCTTAAATAAAGTTTTTAAAAGTTCCTCTAAAGTAATCCATGTTCACTGTTCCGGAAGAAAAATAGTACACAAATGTTTGAAATTGACAAAGAAGTTCCCTGTTTTTCCTTCTTTTTCTTTCCTCCCTTATCAAGTCCAGTCATAAGAGAAGAACCATTGGTAACAGTGTATGTTCTTCAAGATTTTTTTTTTTTTTTTGAGTTGGAGTCTCACTCTGTCACCCAGGCTGGAGTGCAGTGGCACGCTCACGGCCACCCCAACGTTGAGCCGCTGTGCTCACGCGATCCTTCACCTCAGCCTTCCAAGTAGCTGGGACTACAGGCATGTGCCATCATGCCCAGCTTATTTTTCTTGATTTGTTGTAGAGATGAGGACTCGTCAAGTTGCCCAGGCTGGCCTCGAACCCGTGGGTTCAGGCAATCCCCTCACCTCGATCTCCCAAAGTCCTGGGATTATAGGCGTAAGCCACCACACCTGGCCTTATAGTATCCTTTTACTTTGTTTTGTCTTTTCTTGGAGAGTTCTGTTTTCAAATTGTCATGTCTGTCTCTTTCTTGTCATTCGGGTCTTAACTCAAATGTCATATCTTCCAAGGAACCTGCTTATCCCTGTTCACTTTGTAGCTTCTTACTGTGTTTTTTGTTTCATATTTTTAGTGGTTGTGTTTTTATTGTTTGGTAGAATGTAAGCTCCCTGAGAGCAGAGATTGTCTGTTTTATTCATGTTGGAGTATGCTTAAAAAATATTTGGATTTTTTGATTCATCTAAAACATATTAAATAGATTGTGACTTGTGTCTGGAATCCCAGCTGCTTGGGAGGCTGAGGAAGGAGGATCGCTTTAGCCCAGAAGTTCAAGGCTGCAGTAAATTATGGTTGGGCAACAGGGTGAGACCCTGTCTCAAAAAAAAAAAGTTGTGAATTGTGCGAAAGGCTAATAGCGAGCCTTTCTGTGGTTAAATTTTTCTGTTATTGCAGACATAAGCGTTGGGAATTGCTCTTTATTCTGTTGTTTTCACAAAGTAATAGTACACATAATAGATGCGCATACTAAATTAACTTAATTTTTGGCGAACAGTCTTGTTTTTTTTGAAGACACAGGTCTTTCTCTGTTACCCAGGCTGGAGTACAGTGGAGCACCAACATAGCTTACTGCAACCTCGGTCTCCTGGACTCAAGCAGTCCTCCCATCTCAGCTGACTGAGTAACGGGCGACAGGAACACGCCACCATGCCTGGCTGATCCTGTTCTATGGAGAGGGGTCTTCCTTTGTTGCCCAGGCTAGTCTCCAACTCCTGACCTCAAGGGATCTTCCCACTTTGGCCTCCCAAAGTGCCAGGATTATAAGTGTGAGCCACTGTGCCTTGCCAGTCTTATCTTCTTACAAAAAAATTTTTTTTGAGTTGAGGTCTCACTCTGTTACCCAGGCTGGAGTACAGTGGCACACTCACCACCACTGCAGCTGCGATTCTTTTGCCTCAACCTTCCAAGTAGCTGGAACTACAGGCACGTGCCACCATGTCCGGCTAATTTTTTGATTTATGATTGAGACAAGGTCTCACCAAGTTGCCCAGGCTGGTCTTGAATCCCTGGGCTCTCGCCTCTGCCTCCCAAACTGGTGAGATTGTGGGTGTGAGACACTGTGCCCAGCTTCTTATCTTCTTATAATGAAATTTTTAGTTCTTTTTTCCTAAGTAACTGTTAGGTGTTGTGATTTTTCTGGAGAAAACGATGAAACTGCAAAGTTTGCCTTGTTAAGTAAAAGGTTAAATTTTTCATTAAGTTCTGTTGATTCCCATGTGATCCTTCTTACCTTGCTTAATTTTGTTCCCAATCTTAATTTTAGAGCCAATAGTAATTAGTTTTGTTACTTTCAATTATTTTTCAGATATAATTTTTTCGCCTTTGTTTTTAATCATGTAGGCATTGGAGCATACTGATCAGTAGAAAAAACTTAATGGATTAATCAAAACAGGACTATAATTTGATTTTTCTGGCATATAAGAAATACCATACTAGTAGCCAGACATGTAATTATAAGATGTTATGTTCATAAGATCATAAGCTTGCTTCATCTCTTTAAACAGATTTGACACAGCTGCCCTTTTTCCTTATACTCAAAGCCAGTTTTACTGATTTGTTTTTATGTGGAAAAACTGGTTTGCTTAATCTAACTAAACTTTATAGAATGAGTAGTAATTTTGTAAGCATCATTATCCTCTTCCCCTTCCCATATATTCTTGCAAAGTGAGACTGGGGCAGAAAATGACATACGGCTTTTTTTTTTTGAGTCAGAGTCTCACTCTGTCGCATGCTCGTGGCCACCGTAACCTCGACCTGTTGGGCTCAGGGGATCCTTCTGCCTCAGCCTACCAAGTAGCTGGAACTGTAGGTGCATGCCACCATGCCCAGGTAATTTTTAAAAAATTTATTGTAGAGATCTCGCCAAGTTGCCCCAGCTGGTCTCCAACCCCTGGGCTCAGGGAATCCTCTCGCCTCTGCCTCCCAAAGTGCTGGGATTACAGTCATGAGCCACTGCCCCCAGCCTTTTTAAAAAAAAATTAAACAAATGTGACTTTTCAGTTTTCCATATTTTTTTGTTGTATTTTTAATTGACAAATAATAATTGCATATGTTTATGGGGTACAGTGTGATGTTTTGGTACATGTGCACATTGTGGATGACAAAATTAGACTAACATCCATTTTCTCAAATATTTATTATTTATGAGAGCATATAAAATCTACTTTTTGTGGAAACACAAAATGTATGTGTATTTTGCAATATATGATACATCATTAATTGTAGTCACCATGTTGTGCAGTACATTTTCAGAACTTACTCCTGTCTAACCACTACCTTCTACCCTTGTTTCTTTTTATTTTATTTTTTACAGGCGACGAGGTCTTGCTGTGTTTCCCAGGCTGGTCTCGAACTCCTGGGCTCCAGCAATCCTCCTGCCTCGGCTTCTCAAGATACTGGGTATGAGATACTTGTACACCTTGTACCATTTGACTAGCATCTCTCTCTCTCGCCTTTCCTGTCCATCCTACCCCCCAGCCTCTGATGACTGCTGTTGTACTCTCTACAACTTTGAAAACATTTTAATCCTTCTTCCTTTTTTTCTTTTCTGCTCAGTATGATCCGCAGGAAACTACTCTCTACTTCTGTGAGTTCAACATTATGATGATTATTATGATGATGATTATTT